TTTATAAAAATCAAGTGATAGAGTTGAATGATGGTATTAATGCGAAGATTTCGGCCGCCAGATACATTGTCGACTGTGCTTTACAGTTCGGACGTCTGGACAGAATATTTTTTCCTACCTTTGAGTCTGGTACAATATATTCAATGCATTAATTGTTGTATTAGAGGCTTTAATTATATTAATGGGTAAATTGATCGTTGATGTTTTTTAATCAGTGCTCCATAATCGTCTCTTATTTGCGAAAATGATTATGGAGCTTTATTGAGAATGAGTTCTAACCCTAATTCGACCTATATATCTTTTCTCCACGCCTATAACTTATCCTCATTGACTTTGATGGATCATATATATAATTTCCTTAATTTTTTTAATTAAAAGAATGGTATTTGAGAATATCGCTCCTCATATGTGTTATCCGTCCCAGTAAATAAAACTCAGATCAGAGGGTTCTTAATATATATATATATATATATAAGTAAATAGGATTTGAAATTGATATGAATTAATTTAAATAAAAAATGGAAGAAAAAACAAAAAGAAAGATAAGGCATTGATTAGAAATATAAAATTATTTCAATCATGATCATGCGGTTCCCTTTCAAGTTCTAAAAGACAAATTGCTAGCATTAATTAGCATGGTATCATTTGTATGCCATTTACATAAATACCACTAAATCTTTACGTGTTCACATGTGTCACATCTAAATTTTAATTTCTTACATTTATAGGCCCGAATGATGTCACATCACATAAAAAAATATGAAAAAAATATAACATCAAGTCTCCTGATGCATTCGGAGTCTAATGATGAGGTGACACGTGTCAAATAGGTTCCACAGTTTTTAACACCAGATATTACGTGGGGCCCACTTGATGTAATATTATAATTAAATTTTTTTCTTAATGATAAGCTAATTAATTATCTTAATTTCAAAATTAGAAGCTAAATAGATCTGACCAATTGGAAGAATACTGAGATGTGAAGCTATCACGAATCATCTTCCCTAGCTTAGAAATTAAATAAATAATAATATTATTATAAAATTAAATATTATAATTAAAAAAATAATTAAATAATTAAAAAATATTTTGTAGTGATGCTTTGTCCTTGCCTCCTTCACTTTGTCTGGCTTCATTACCCAGATATGTTATGGCACTACTTATTTTAATAATTGATCTTTCCAATGTCAATATTATCCAATTTATACAATTAATTATATGACTAATTACTTTTATGACAATTATAATAAGCTGTCATGGTCATTAAATAAATCAGTTAGGTCTAACTTGATTATTTAATCATTTTACATGTTAGCATTTTAATATTCGTGCAAGTCATAAATTTCCAATTTATACTATTAATTATTTTCATTATATTTATATA